CCTCCCCCTCCCCGAGCTCGGGGGTCCTTTAGCCGCTGGGGAGCGGGGCTGCAGCCTCTGCAGCTGGGTTTCCCACTCTAACAGGCGCCATTTTACCGCCCAAAGGACTCCCTCCTCCTGTCTTTCCCCCTCTCTTCCCCTTTGACACTGCTTCCGGTGGTGACGTGTATTCGCTTCACCGGGACTAAGTTCCCCCTGCGCGGTCTATGGGGGTAGGTATAAGGAAAGTCAGAAGCACTGCGAACGAGGCTGCAGTATTGCGCACGCGCAGAAGGTGGCCGTGGGGCGGGGCCTGAGGCGAAGCAGGCCCCGCCTCAAACTGCGTGGGCGGGGCGGAAGCCGTCACTTGTCCCCGCAGTTAGGGCCCTCGCGGGGGATTTGTGGGTCCTCTTCCCGCTCCCACTGACAACTGCCCCAACTGCTCTTCCCGTCCCGGTCACAGTGAAAATGTAGAAGGGGTCATTGTCCGTACGACTGTGCGCCAGGGCTCGGGGAGGGGCGCCCTCCTCGTGAGCGCCCCCCTGGGAATAGTGAACATAATCACCTCTCATTCCAGACTATGTTAGGTCTTAATGGTAGGAGGACGCTCGAGTGCCCCGCCCGTTTCACCCCGAGGGGGCGGGACAGTGGGTCGTGACGCTATCAGAGGGCGCCAGAGCAGGGACCGGACGCGAGTTGGGGATGTTGGACTCGCTGTTATCCTTGGGCGGCCTGGTGCTGCTTCGGGGTGAGAGCCAGCGGCACAGGGGGGTTCGGGTCTGGCTGAGGGGACGGAAGTGGAGAGGAAGGGCCATGGGTCACAGGCTAGGTGTGGAGATCGCGACGGGTTCGCGAAGGTGGTAATCCTAGCGCCCTCACACTCAATCCGTCCCTCGCTGTGCAGATTCCGTGGAGTGGGAGGGGCGCAGTCTCTTGAAGGCGCTTGTCAAGAAATCTGCACTGTGGTGAGTATCCCACGGTGTCTCCTCAGCCTACCCTGGATAGGGAACCTGTGCCCACTCTTTGACAGTCCCCCCTCATCTCTGCCTTAGTGGGGAGCAAGTGCATATCCTGGGCTGTGAAGTGAGCGAGGAAGAGTTTCGTGAAGGTTTTGACTCTGATATCAACAATCGGTAAGTACCAGTTGGAAAAGATTTGATTAAATTGGAGACGTCTATTGCTAAGGACATTTATTTATAACAAGCGCAGAACCTGGTATATAGTAGCAGTTCCTTAAATATTCATTGAAGAATTGGATATGGGTCTTTCAGGAGGCAAGACTTAGTAAGAGGAGTAATGAGGAGTGATGAGTATTTGGGGAATCCAAAGCAAAGATCATAGAAGTTGAGAGAGAAATAGCCTGGAGATAGGGAGAACATGTGGGAAGGGTATTGCAGTAATCTATTAATCCAGGTTCGCTATTAAGGTGCATATGTACCGAGCACCAACTATAAACCCGGTGCTGTGCAAGATACTGGAGCTGGGAGTGAATGAGACAGACCTGTTCCTGGCCTAATGAATTTTAGGGAATAATGGTAGAAAGTGATAGAGGCCTGGTTTAAGGCAGTGGCAGTAGAGATGGAAAGTTTAGAACACATGTAAAGGACTTTAGTGGGTAGCATTTCCAGGATTTATTGACTAATGTGGGGGAGAAGACAGTATTGAAATAAGGAAGTCCCTAAACCCAGCCACGTGCCTGATCAGGAGACATTAAGAACCATTAGTAGGATGCTTTCTACTTCCTAGTCCGGGCAACTCAGTGGATGGTGATAGTAGTTTACATCTTATCTGTTGAGCCTCTAATTTTACATCAGCCATTGTTATGATAGAGGTGGTGGTGTATGTTAAGATGGCATTCCATGGCCAGGCGTGGTGGTTCACGCCTTTAATCTCAGCACTTTGGGAGGCTGAGGGGGGTGGATCACCTGAGGTCGGGAGTTCGAGACCAGCCTGACCAACGTGGAGAAACCCCATCTCTACTAAAAATACAAAAAATTAGCTGGGCATGGTGGCACATGCCTGTAATTCCAGCTACTGGGGAGGCTGAGGCAGGAGAATCGCTTGAACCCGGGAGGCAGAGGTTGTGGTGAGCAGAGATCGTGCCATTGCATTCCAGCCCAGGCAACAAGAGCAAAACTCTGTCTCAAAAAAAAAAAAAAAGAGGGCATTCCACAAGAGAACCAGAAGATAAAAAAGAGATATCTGGGGAGAAAAAAAAGTTCTGCTACCTTTGCTGGTCTACCTTTCCTGAGCTGTTATTTTTTTCTGTAGTTGGTACTCCATGACTTAATTTTTAACTTTCTTTAAGCTGTTCTACAGGCAGGAACCAAGTCTCATGTCCTCTGCTTTCTCATTTTTTATCCAGAGTGATAAACTTTAGGTGCCACACTCAGGAAATATGTGATAATGGTGATAACTAACATTTATGAGGCATACACTATGTGTCAAGCACTGTGCTGAGTGCTTAGAGGTTGGCATCTCATTTCACCAATGAAGCAACTGAGTCTTAGAGATAATTTATCATTTAGCTGACCTTGGGCAACAAGTCGCAAAGCCAAGCTTGGAGGTCAGGCTGTCAGACACCAAAGTCTGTGCTCTCAATCATTGCTATCTCTCAGTAATATTCTTTCACTAATATTTAGGATATTCACGAAAATTGAGAAAACAGAGCCACAAAGATCAGAGGATGAACTTTGTGATCCTCTGGGGGGAAGGAGCAATATTATATTGTGTCGTGTTTTCCCTTTGCAGGCTGGTTTACCATGACTTCTTCAGAGACCCTCTCAACTGGTCAAAAACTGAGGAGGCCCTTCCTGGGGGGCCGCTGGGAGCCTTGAGAGCCATATGCAAGAGGACAGATCCTGGTCCTGTCACCATTGCTCTCGATTCACTCAGCTGGCTGCTGCTTCACCTTCCCTGCACCACACTCTGCCAGGCCCTGCATGCTGTGAGCCATCAGGACTCCTGTCCTGGTGAGACCCCTCCTTCATTATTTCCCCTCATATATCTCCCTCTGCCTAGGAGTGTGCCCCTTTTCCTTTCTACCCTAGAAGAAACATCTGGGTTCTCCAGTCAGACCTTTTTTCATTTTTTTGAACTTTTTGTCTGGTTTTTTTTTTTTTTTTTTTACTTCCCCTTAATGCCATCTACCATTTGCTTTTTTTCCTCCAAGTTATTTTTTTACTCATTTGTTTCACTCATTCATTTATTTAACAAATCAATAGTAAATACATATAATATGTCAGGTACAATTCTAGATAATGGCAAAATACAGACTGACTGTAGCTGGGTCCTTGCCTTCCAGGAGCTCAAAGTCCCATAAAAGATGGAGATAAGTAAACAGGCAGTTACAAGATGGTCTGATAAAGGCCATGATGATATAGGACATGCACAGGGTACCTTAAAGAAGGGCACTCTCGGCTGGGCGCGGTGGCTCACACCTGTAATCCCAGCACTTTGGGAGGCCGAGGTGGGCAGATCACAAGGTCAGGAGATCGAGACCATCCTGGCTAACACGGTGCAACCCTATCTCTACTAAAAATACAAAAAAAATTAGCTGGGCCTGGTGGCGGGCGACTGTAGTCCCAGCTACTTGGGAGGCTGAGGCAGGAGAATGGCGTGAACCTGGGAGGCAGAACTTTCAGTGAGCCGAGATCGTGCCAGTGCACTCCAGCCTGGGCGACACAGCGAGAGTCCGTGTCAAAAAATAAAGGCACTCTTGAAGAGCAAGCGGTCAGCCAGGCAGATTTGGCCGGGCAGGGGCACTGGGACTAGCCCTGAAGTGCACTGTGGGTATTCGAATGGACTTAGGAGTCAGACGCTCAGCTTTGTATTAAGGTGCTTGACTTTCACTTGCTTCACTTTCCGCTGTATATGGGGGAAGGTACAAGGGAAGTATTAGGATAAACCACTATATTGCCATTTCTTAGATCAAAAATTGTTAAATATTGGCTGGGCACGGTAGCTCACACCTGTAATCCCAGCACTTTGGGAGGCCAAGGTAGGTGGATCAGCTGAATTCAGGAGTTGGAGACCAGCCTGGCCAACATGGTAAAACCCTGTCTCTACTAAAAATACAAAAAATTAGCTGGGTTGGCCGGGCACGGTGGCTCAAGCCTGTAATCCCAGCACTTTGGGAGGCCGAGACGGGTGGATCATGAGGTCAGGAGATCGAGACCATCCTGGCTAACACGGTGAAACCCCGTCTCTACTAAAAAATACAAAAAAAAACTAGCCAGGTGAGGTGGCGGGCGCCTGTAGTCCCAGCTACTCGGGAGGCTGAGGCAGGAGAATGGCGTAAACCCAGGAGGCGGAGCTTGCAGTGAGCTGAGATCTGGGCACTGCACTCCAGCCTGGGAGATAGAGCGAGACTCCGTCTCAAAAAAAAAAAAAAAAAAAAAAAAAATTAGCTGGGTGTGGTGGCACACACTTATAATCCCAGCTACTCGGGAAGCTGAGGCAGGAGAATCACTTGAACCCAGGAGGCAGAGGTTGCAGTGACCTGAGATCACACCACTGTATTTCAGCCTGGGTGACAGAGAAATACTTCATCTCAAAAAATAAAAACTAAAAACAGTCCAGGCATGGTGGCTCACGCCTGTAATCCCAGCACTTTGGGAGGCCAAGACAGGTGGATCATGAGGTCAGGAGTTCAAGACAAGCCTGGCCAAGATGCTGAAACCCCGTCTCTACTAAAAATACAAAAATTCGCCAGGCGTGGTGGCACACACCTGTAGTCCAGCTACTCGGGAGACTGAGGCAGAATTGCTGAACCCAGGTGACAGAGGTTGCAGTGAGCCAAGATTGCGCCACTGCACTCTAGCCTGGGTGACAGCAAGACTCCGTCTCAAAAAAAAAAGAAAAAAATTGTTAAATGTCAGTGATTTCATATGGTTTAACCTAAAAATGCTGACCTTTGTAAGGATTCAAACATTGTGTTAAAGCGTTTAGCATAGTGCCTGACACTCTCTAAAGGCACTGACTGAGATCTTGGGAAGTTCCAGAAACTACAAGTACTTCCGTGTGTAAGAGATGAGGCTAGAAAGTAAGTGGACACCACCTGCTAGAAGTGTTCATTCCATCCTGAAGGCGGAGGAGCTGCTGAAGGATAGAAGTTAGAGCGGTGCCTTGATCAGCTTTACACGGGGATAATAGAGGAGATTAAGGTGTGGGCTGGAGGAGGCTCAGAGCACAGTAGTGAGATTGGCCAAGGGAAGTCAGGATTTTGACAGCACTGTGATGGAATTGTGGGGCTCTCTCCTTTTCTCTTCACTGTTTGCTCCCAGGCCACCAACCTGAATGCTCCCTACTATCCTACATTTCTTGTCCGTCTCTAGGTGACAGCTCCCCGGTGGGGAAAGTGAGTGTGCTGGGCTTGCTACATGAAGAGCTTCACGGACCAGGCCCTGTGGGAGCTCTCAGCAGCCTTGCGCAGACTGAGGTGACCCTGGGCGGTACAAAGGGCCAGGCCTCGGCCCACATCCTGTGTCGGAGGCCCCGACAGCGCCCAACTGACCAGGTCAGAAGAACCAACAGGGAAGGACTGGAAATTGGGGACAGAGAAAGGAGTGGCACGATGAGAAGAACAATGAAAATGCTGATATTTCAAGGAGACTTTAAAAACAAACTTTTTTTAGAGATGGGGTTTCACTGTGTTGGTCAGGGTGTTCTCAAACTCCTGGGCTCAAGTGATCCACCTCAGCCTCCAAAGTGCTAGGATTACAGATGTGAGTGAGTGTGCCCGGCCCTCAGGGAGACCTTTTTTAAAAAAAAACTGATTGGGTATCTCTCTGTGTTTTCCATCACTTACCTCATTTAATCTTCTCAGCTATGGTGTAAGGTAGATTGTTTTATTATCACAGGTTTTCAGGTGGGAAAGCCAGTACAGGGAGAGGTTTTTTTCCCTTGTTTCTTTTCTTTTTTTTTTTTGGACAAGGTCTCACTCTGTGGCCCGGGCTGGTGTGCTGTAGTGCAATCATAGCTCACGGCAGCTTTGACCTCCCATGCTCAAGTGATCCTCCTGCCTCAGCCTCTGGTGTAGCTGGAGCTGGGAACACAGGCACGTAGCACCACAGCCAGCCAGCTTGTTAGTTTTTTATATAGGTGGGATCTCATCCTGTTGCCCAGGCTGGTCTTGAATTACTGGGGTCAAGCCATCCTCTGGCCTTGGTCTCCCAAAGTGCTGGGATTACAGGTGTGAGCCACTGCACGCGGCCCAGGGAGGTTTAAATTTAAGTCACTTACCAAGATTATAAAGTGTAAGTGGGGCCCAGGCAAGGTGGCTCATGCCCGTAATCCCAGCACTTTGGGGGGCCAAAGTAGGCAGATTGCGTGAGGTCAGGAGTTTGAGACCAATCTGGCCAACATGGTGAAATCCCATCTATACTAAAAATACAAAAATTAGCCGGGCATAGTGCACACACCTGTAGTCCCAGCTACTCTGGAGGCTAAGGCAAGAGAATCGCCTGAACCCGGGAGGCAGAGGCTGCAGTGAGCCAAGGTCATGCTGCTGCACTCCAGCCTGGGCAACAGAGTGAGACTCCTCAAAAAAAAAAAAAAAATGTAAGTGGGGCTGGGCAAGGTGGCTCACGCCTGTAATCCCAGCACTTTGGGAAGCAGAGGTGGGCAGATCACCTGAGGTCAGGAGTTCAAGACCAACCTGGCCAACATGATGAAACCCCATCTCTACTAAAAATACAAAAATTAGCTGGGCATACTGGTGGGTGCCTGTAGTCCCAGCTACTCGGGAGGCTGAGGCGGGAGAATCACTTGAACCTGGGAGGCGGAGGTGGAGGTGAGCCAGGAACATGCCACTGCACTCCAGCCTAGGCAACAGAGTGAGACTCTGTCTCAAAAAAAGAGTAAGTGGGGCTGCTCTGCCTAAGGAGTAGCCATCCTTGTATTCCTTTACTTCCTTAATAAACTTGCTTTCACTTTTGAAAATAAAATAGAGGCTGGGCACAGTGGCTTATACCTGTAATCCCCACATTTTGGGAGGCCGAGGTGGGCAGATCACCTGAGATTAGTGGTTCGAGACCAGCCTGGCCAACACAGAGAAACCCCATCTCTACTAAAAATTCAAGTTAGCTGGGCGTGGTAGTACGCGCCTGTAATCCCAGCTACTCGAGAGGCTGAGGCAGGAGAATCACTTGAACCTGGGAGGTGGAGGTTGCAGTGAGCCAAGATCACGCCACTGTACTCCAGCCTGGGCAACAAAGCCAGACCCTGTCTCAAAAAAAAATTAAAAGTTGAGGGCAGGGGCTGAAAGCAGTGAAATAGGTGATTGGGGGCTGAGGATGTGAGGTCCTAGAGTCTCTCTAGTTTCTTCAGTAAGATGAAAAAACCTCTTTTCTTTTTTCTCTCCAGACTCAGTGGTTCTCCATACTTCCAGACTTCAGCCTGGATCTCCAAGAGGGACCCTCTGTAGAGTCCCAGCCCTGCTCTGATCCTCATATACCCCCGGTATCTAAGAATGCCAGGGCCAGAACAAGGAAATGTAGTTTAGGGTCTGGTCAAAGGGGAGAGAGTAAAAGCTGCAGAGGTTGGGGGTGGGGTCAGGGATTCTAGGGATGGGGCAGAGTGGCAGCATCCTTTGTACCTACAGGTGGATCCCACAACTCATTTGACCTTTAACCTTCACCTGTCCAAGAAAGAGAGAGAAGCCAGAGATAGCCTGATCCTGCCCTTCCAGTTCAGCTCTGAAAAGTAAGGTCGGGACCTGGGTATGTGGATCCCTGAGTAGAGCCCAGGATCTGGGCCACGGAGAGGTGGGGCAACAGCAGGTTATTGATTAACCTGACTTTATAGGGGCTGAAGTCCACCTCCAGAGACAAGTCCAAGTTCTTGATCCACTCATTCCCCCTACAATGGCCGAGGGCCTTTATGTCTCTTTTCTCTCCCTTAGACCCTTGGGTCACAGCTCCAGTTGTCCCCAGAGCACCCTGGGCCTGGGCTGAGCCAGACCAGACCCTTGGGAGGTGGCCCTATCCCTAGGCAGTGGTGCTAGGAGGACAGAAGGCTATATGGGCGTGGCAAAGGCTGGTTAACAAGGGCTTAGTGCATGCCTGCTGTTCTGTGCCCAGTGTGTGGGTGGATGAAGCAAGACTACAAGATCCTTGCCCCCAAGCTGCTAGGAACTTACGGTTTTATTAGGAGAGCTGTACAAGGGTATCTATTCCAGTACCAAATGGTGCTTCAGCTCTAACATGGAGGGAGAGAAAGGGACTTGGACCAAGAAAATGACATGGAGGCCTAACAGGTTGCCTGAATGAGAGTCACAGTCACCTGGAAGAAAGTATCCAGACCCAACCTGTCAGCTACCCTCACCAGCACCAAATCTTCCCTTCTCAGACAGCAGGCTCTCCTGCGGCCTAGGCCAGGCCAGGCTACCAGCCACATCTTCTATGAGCCAGATGCTTATGATGACCTGGACCAAGAAGACCCAGATGACGACCTAGATATTTGACTGGTCAGATTTGATTAGATTGTAATTGGAGGGGGCGCAGGAAGACTTTGGGCCCAGAACCATCTTTCTCTTGTTTGTGTTAGCCTTACCCTGTCCCTACCCCACCTTGGTTCCCCTTGTCTATGGATCCCTGCTCTATGAGCCAGGAAGCAGTGTCTCATCAGGACAGAAGGTAGGATGAAGACATGGGATAATGTGAGAGTAGAACATCCCCGTACCTAATAAAATCTTTATTTTTTTATTAAAAAAATACTTTGGTAGCTATTTAAATAAGGGGGGTGGGAATGGATGTCAAGATACAAGCACCTGCATCTTTTAGTCTATTGTCAATGGAGTCTGGGGGCCAGGAATGGTGTGCAGGCCACTGGGGCGCTAAGTGTTCTGAACTGAAGTAGGTGCAGTAAGGTTCCAAGCTCCCTGCGAGGATCCAGACGGGAGGAAAGCAGAGGCCCCGAAGGGAAAAAGCCTGCTTCCCAAAACTTACTTTTTATTACTGTACAAAAAGCACACACTCCCTCTTTTTGTCTCTCCCACCAACACCCCCCACCCCCCACCCAAGAGGACTATACATGGAGTGCAGGGACAGGGTGACCAGGAGGCCTTTATCCGGCACCCTGCCCACAGGCTGAGCTCAGCCCCAGGCCCTTTCAGGCATCTAGACACGCCCACAGCCTGTCAGGCTGGGGCCAGGAGATTCCAGGTCACACATACTCCTTGGAAGAGTTGGACTTAGGGTAAGAGCGGGGTGCATGGTACCCAGCCTTGCTCTCATTCCTAGGACAGGAACAGGAGAGCAGTGCACCTCCCAGGATGACTAGGGCAGACCCTGCCCAGCCAATAAAGATGGCAGGACCAAACTCATACCTGTGAAGAGAAAGGGGTGGTTAGAAACCCTGACCTGCCTCTGCCCTCCTCCCTATCCCAGGACCCCAGACCTGTCCCCTTAGGAGGCAGGGTTCCCAGACTTACTTCATGTTGGTAGGGATCAAGGGGTTATAAAAGTCTGTGACAATCTGATGGCCATACCAGGAGCAAGCTATTAAGGCGGCAAGACCTGGAGAGAGAATGAGGGTTTCGGTATAGTGGGACCCCAAACGGGCACCTTGCCCAGCCTCGCTCCTCCCAGATGGGAGAACCCTGGGGCTCACCTGCCACGATGAAAATTATGCCTCCACCCATGGCTATACGGGCCTTCTTCACTTTGTCGTCTCCCCCACAACGTGTGCACTTCATGCCCATCGTGGCCACAAACATGGCCAGGAAGCCCAGCACCAGGGAGACCACCATTAGGGCTCGAGTGGCCTGCAGAGCCGCTGCGGGCGAGGGGAAAGGGCGCCGTCATTGCTGGAAATGCAGGTGGCTCCAGCCTTCGTGCAGCCGGCCGCGCCCACTAACCCCTGGACCCCGTCTGTCCGGCGCCGTGTTCTGCCGCGGGCCAGGGGCGCCCAGGTGTCCGAGGCCTGGGCCAAACGGGCCGGTCCCCGCCCCTCCCAACAGCGCGGCCTTCCTGCTCCCGCCCCGCCCTCTCCGCTCAAGGATCCGCCCGGGGCGCCGGGGTTTCGGTGAAACTGCCCCGTATAAGGGGAAGGGTGGAAGGGGCAACGAAACGAACCCCAGACGGTGGCCCGAGCCCCGCGCGGCGCACATGCCAGCCGGCGGCCCTGCTCTGAGCCGCTATCGAGGCCACCGGGTTTGTGGCTTCGGCTAATCGGCCGATAAGATTAGAGGCCGCAGGCGGCGGCCCACTGTGACCAGCCGCACCGCCCTTCGGCCCTCGGCGCGCCCGGTGCCCCGCGCCCCGGGGTCGTTTCTGTCTGAGAAAAGGGCGGGAGATGACGGAGGCCGTGGCCTGCCCAGGGATTGGGGAGGGGACGGCTCCGGCCTAAGAACCGCTGCTCGGAGCCAGGGACTAGGCTGGGTTGGGGGGCGGAAGAGGACCGTGGGCGACCGAGGTGCGTGCCCACGTGCAGCCGCCAGAACCC